AAAAAAAAAAAAAAAAAAAAGTCGGGAGAAACTCTTTCACTTGATTTGTTTCATTTGAAAAAAATTACTCTCAGTTTTATGTATTTCTTCTCAAATCTTGCTGTAGATTTCACTGCCAAGTGTTAGTAGTTTTTTTTTTTTTTTCTTTTTTGTTTTCACTTTTGCTTTTGCTTTCAAAACCGTTCTTTTGTTTTCAACAGAATTCTGTTGTGTAGGAGTACGATTGATAGTGCGATGAAATGGATAAGTGAATGAGCAGATTTTTTGGGATATAGACTCTGTCTAGAACTCCCGATGAACGAACTTAAAGGTGTTCGGAAGTTAAAGTTTTTTATGAGCGGTACAGGGTGATCGCCGAGCACAGTATCGAAATATATTGTGTGCTATTTATTTGGATTTCAGTAGCAGCGATGCTGTTTAGATGTTGACAATATAGTGAGTATTTCGCAACTGATACTTATTCGCCTTTTTTCTCAGCACTTTCGCCATACATTTGCTCGGCTTACGTGATTATATATTCCATATTGTTGTATTGTGGGGCGACCCTGTCACTGAGTGTTTGAGGAAAAATTTTGGTTCCTAAAAATTGTAGTTTTATTGAGATCCTCCTATCCAGTATAATCTGGATTTTGCTGAAATCAGTGGAAAATATGGTTCCAACAGTGGGATCTGATATGGTTTTATGGCTTTCATTTAGGCAAGGGGTGGTTAATGCGCTTCCGTTTGTTGATGCGGTGTATGAAAGTTTTGTTTAGTTAGGACCAGAAATGAAATTTTTGTTTTGTATCTGAAATTTGACATTTTGATGAACTTTTTTCTTTGTGGAGATGTGCTTTTAACCTGTGTGAAATTTTTTTGTTAGCGAGATGGAAGCAGTTTACGTATTTGTAGACTGATTGTACGGCCAATGGATTTTGTAGTCATTTTGTGGTTTATAAAGATCTTCATTCGATAGCGTTATCGTGATTTTCTTTGCGAAAGATTTTATCATAATCTATCGCGTTCCAATGGCTATCTGCTTTTCCAGGATTGATCGGATTTAGTACAACTGTGTTCTTCTACAAGCTGTGAATCTCGTAAACGAAATTAGCGAGGAACAATGCGTGAATATAAAATTGTGGTCTTAGGAAGCGGTGGTGTCGGGAAAAGTGCACTGGTAGTTTTTGTTTGTAAAGTTTATTATCTTTGTTATACCAGGATTTGAGGTGTTAAACAATGTGTAGTTGGTTTTTTATATGTATTTTTGGTTTTTAAAATTTTTATCCTACTAAATAGAGTTAGTTTATAAAGTTTTTGCAAATTTAGCATTAGTGGTGGGTAGTTACAGAATTAAACTAAAAGTAATGGCGAATTTAGTAGGAGATGTTACTGTTTTTCTT